ATTTGTATACATGTATATATTTTAACAGTCGTGCATTCTTTTTACTGATTTGCTGCTTATGTGTTACCATTTATACTTTGCCTATCTCCAATTGTCCTGAAGATAGATCAATTTCGTTAACGCATTGTAAGTCGGTTGTCAGTCCCCATAATCCAATATGTGTTTTGTATATAATAAACTTTGTAACTGTAACATTGTTTGAGTTTTATATAAATGAAAGATTATTTTTTATAATCTTAGTTTATATAAATAAGTAATTGTCATCATATTCATTTTGGTAATGTATTTAAATCATCTCAATGGGTATTCTGTGTTACATGTATTGAGATATGCCTTATCTGGGCCTCATCTGTTGTTTATTTATAACCCAGCCTCGTTTTCAGTTTCACCATCTTTGCGTTCGTAGCCATTGTGGAAATTTGTCACCACCATCCTCCCCACCACACGCCTTGTGAAATTACCTTTGGGGATTGTCATTTGTAAATAATATTTTTATTAGTATCATTGTTATGCAGTAGTTTTGCTGTACATATTCATCAATTTCTGTGTAAAAATGTGTAATCTTTAAACAATTATTATGTTATTCTGCTTGCATATTTTATGTCAATCTTACATTTCTCATGCTAAATGTATATCACCAATGCCAATCATTTACAAGTAATTGTTTTCATGTTAGTCATTCTGCTGCATGAATATCAACGTTACTAATTTTAAACATTTATTTCATACTAGTTATGCTGACATGTTTCCAATCATGCTAACGCATGCATTTCTTTTCTACTAGACACGCTAGTTACTACAATTCTAGTATTTTACAATGCTAAATGCATTTACAATAATCATAATGACATGTATCAGTATTCTTCTTTATGTATTTAATGCAAACAAGTCATGCTGACGTATGACAATCAATCATGCTTACGCTTATATCTGATTTTTTATGCTAGTCATGCTGACGTATGACATTCAATCATGCTTACGCATGTCATTCTTATGCTAGTCATGCTTACGTATGACAGTCAATCATGCTTACGCATGTCTTTCTTAAGCTAGTCATGCTGATGCGTGACTTTCTTTCATTCATGCTTACGCATGTCATTCTTATGCTAGTCATGCTGACGTATGACATTCAATCATGCTTACGCATGTCATTCTTTTCGCTAGTCATGCTGACGTATGACATCTAATCATGCTTACGCATGAAATTCTTTTATGCAAGTCATGCTAACGTATGGCTGTTTTGGTGTACAAATATTAAAAATTCTTTAAAATTTTTCCATATTTTAACCAATAATCCCCAAGTTTTCTCCTGGGGGTTAATGTGTGTATTTTCTATATGTATGTTTGTTTACTACATTTGTATATATATTTTAACAGTCGTGCATTCTTTTTACTTGTTTGCTGCTTATGTGTTACCATTTATACTTTGCCTATCTCCAATTGTCCTGGAGATAGATCTATTTCGTTAACGCATTGTAAGTCGGTTGTCAGTCCCCATAATCCAATATGTGTTTTGTATATAATAAACTTTGTAACTGTAACATTGTTTGAGTTTTATATAAAATGAAAATAAAAAGTGAAATCTACACTCCTTCTCAGTTCTAACCTGTTTAATTTTTTTATACTCAGTCGTTCTTCTTCGTGCTACGTAACAAAAATAAGATAATTTATTGTTGCATTTACTTGTAAAAATATATATATTTATATAGGAAGCGCAAAAATACGCACTCAAAAACATGACATTATATTTTCTTCATCATAACAATTGTCAAAGAGATTTAAAATATTGAATATAGTCTGTTCCCCATTCACTTGACCCTGTTATTTCAGGTAGAGTAAAGACATTCTCGTCTTTAGGTAAACACTTTTGTGTACAAAACAATGGAAAGAACCCTTTTGTGTACATAACAATATCAGTGCTGAAGCAGCCTATATGTCATTCCTATAAATGATAACTAAAAAATCGGCACTTAGTTGGTCATTTATCACACCTGAGTTACTTGTCCTAAAACACAGCGTCGTACAAGTCAATTTCAAATAATTAAACTTTTTGATAACTTAATGAAAGGTATGCATAAGTTATTATCTTCTTTGATAATTTCATTTACCCATAAATCTATCTATGAAATACTTTTTTTTACCGATATGTGCAACACGAAAAATTAGTTGAAAGGCCTATATAATATCTCATAGGCAAATAAGGGGTGTTAAGAAAGTTCGTTCCGTAATGAAATATTTTTGAAATCTTCAAGGTAGTATTTAACTGAAGAGAATAATTTGACAGTCTGACATAATCACAAGCTTGTGCTTTCAATTTATAGCAATTTATTCTAATAGAAAATTTTAGGTTTTTTTCTACATGGAAATATACATAACCATCTTAAAAACACCCAGATGACAAACGTGCTGGTCATTTTGAGTGAAAATACATGTACCAGGACCCGGTTTTATCAACGGCTCATTAAATTTAATGAATTATTAAGCCTAATAATTCATTAAATCTTAATGATACATTAGTTAATAATTAAAGTCATTAAAGTGTGTTGTACAAAACCTTTATTAGAGTCTTATTACTTAATGAATCATTAAATATTTAAGAATTCATTAAAGATTCATTAACATTAGGGGAACATCCCACAATGCAATGCATTAATACTTCCGGGGGCGTATCTATGTGCGTTTCCTATGTTTACAAAATACTTATAATAGATCAGCTCTAATTCATAAAATAGTTTTTTTTTTAAATCCACCGAGTGGCCAACTTCCTTTCACTTCCAATTTATGACTTTAGCAATGAATAAAAAAATCAACCGATCTCTGAAGCGGTTTTTCTTTTATTCTTTATTACATGTGATAGCTTGTGGCAGTATTTTCCAAAAATGAGTAATTTTTTAAAAAATTAATTTACATGTAAGAAAATATTAACATGCAAAAAATGACAATCTACAGGTACAAATATTTCGTGATGGTAAGTTGAAAGTTGTGTGTGGGAAAGGGGGGGGGGGGGGGGGGCTTGCTTCTCGATTAAAAAAACGATCTCTGATGTTTTATTCATATGCAGGATTTTATTGATACCGGTATAGGCCTACCTTAAAATAGGAGCTGTGTTTATTCTCTTACTGTTGACCTAGTTAACCACCTCATAAATTATGACGAAAGAAATGACGTCACTTATAGTGTTTACATGTACACGAAGTTATTTTGAATTCACTGGGATTGCAGTTGGGATTTCTATTGTGATTTGATTAAAAGAAGCATCTTTATACCTATAATTTTGTTGACAAGGTATGTGAAGTTTTGAAAGTTCGACAGACCGTCCATTAATTTCTGTACTTTTTTAAACGGTATCGATATAATTTCCGAATTTCCTCATCCGTAATGTCAGTGAAAAAGGCTCACAAAAGGCACTGATTCTTCTCCTTCTGCCAAGCGGGCAAAACATAAAGCAGGTCTCCATACTTAATGACCACTTAATGAAGCCCCCTTACCTTCATTAAAGTTGATGAATTTAACTAAGCTTTAATGCACCGATTCGTGCACCATTGATACAACGGAATTTAATGACACATTAAAAATAATCAGTTTAATGAAGCTTTAATCATTCATTTAATATTGATACAACCGGATCCAGGACATGATACCCTTTTTCACAGCGTATCTTTCATCATATAAAACTAATGAGGTTAGGTAAAAAGAAAGATTAGTCACTTTTTCAAAGAATATTTTGTCATATAGGAATTCTATGCTGACTGGATAAATTATGCATAGGTATTTGGAAGGATATATGGACCTTTGTGATTAAAATATTTCACTAATAAGCTGCATTCCTGGTTTTTCTGCAAAGACATCTGTTTCGAATTCAATACCTGCACTCCCTTATCCGTTTCAACCAAACACAGTTAAAACCTTATCAGTAGCAAGAATGGACTTTGTGAACATGAAATATCACAAACTGAAAACATATTCTCATTATATGCTGTTGTTTTGGGCTTCTATGAAATAAAAAGGTAATACAAGTTAATATGGTTTATTTTGAGTAGGGTTTTTTAATCTGTAGTGAAATTAATAATGTAAGTAAACTGAAATAGGCTAAATATATCTAATATATGTTTATACATAAGTAATTGTACAAGATGTCTAGCATATATCTTTAAGTCATTCTAAAATATATGGAAGAGAAACAGGTGTGGAAATCAAAGAAAATATGAAACGTGAAGTGACCTTGACATCAACACACTACTCTCTAGTTCAAATAAACACAATACATTCAAACGTAGAACTGAAATACGAGAAGATGGAAATGAATTGAGGCGGACAATGTGTTGGGGATACTACATCTCGTCAATCGGCTGAGTGTGTACATATTTGTGAAGTTTTACTTTTACAATCGATGACTGCCTTGTAAAATTTAAACACAGACTTACTCCATTCACTGAAATGTAAAATTCAGCTGAAGAATGTAAAAGTAAATCTCATTATAGAACTCCTGTAGTGTCTAAACATAGTCAAACAGATTATTGTAGTAAAACCATTTTTAAAACGGCAAGAGACGTTAGTAATAATTTATTTAATGTAACAAAGACAGCCTTTGGGTTACCTAAAATTTTAAAACAATACAGTATAGTTAGTCTAATAAACCATGGTTTAAAAAAGACAGCTGACCTGGCCAAAATTTAATAAACTCATTTGTAAGATTGTAAATTGATAATATTAAAATGTGTTATATATGAGTTCTAGATAGATAAGCTCCAGTATAAAACGTTTTTTTAAAGGAATCCAGTGAGTTATATGTGTATACCGGTAGTTATTTTGACATGTAAACAACATCTGCCTTATCTATTGCATTAAAAGCGCATCTCAAATTTCTACTGTTTTCTTTACCCCTTTTAAAGTTATTTTTAGTGTACCAGTAAATATATGCATGACACTAATTGTGCTATATACCTGTATGCATGGGTAGCCATGCCTGAAAATCTTTTTAACTCGCTAATATCGGGCGTGGAAGACGCAATGGAAGAAACAGGGGGAAATACATTTCTTGTTTTATTTGGGACAGCAGAAAAATAAATAATTTGATAACTTCATGAGGTAAATGTATATTGCATTATTCATAATGACTATCTATATTTTAGAATTTTACACTGAGGATGTATTTAATTACTTTCGTTTTAAATGAGTTAAGTGCTTTATGCAATTTTTATGGGTTATTTTTTACAAACAAAAGAACTATTCGGATGAGGCGTTTTAACAAAAAGCAAACAATGTGTATATAGTATTTGACAGTGATGGAAAACGTTGTGGAATCATGTCCCAAGAACATAACAGAGATCGGAGAATCCTCCAGGAGGTTGGGTTGTGGTCAGGATCAGTATGGAAACGATCAGTACATCTGTGTCCCTAACATAGACAAAGCAGGGCTCATAGAATTATGTTACAATGGCATCATGGGGATAATAGAAAGGGGTAAGTGAGCTTAAAAACTTTTCATTAATTTTTATTTTACTGTATATTTATTAAGATTTAGATCACTATTAAAGACATTACAACATGACCTCTGATAAATTCCTTATTAAATGAGAGAAAGAAAGGGGAAGAAAGAGATATGTACACCTGAATGAATCAACTAATTATATGACGTCTAAATCTTAACTGATACTCCATGTCTTACATTCTGCTCCTCCCACATAATGATTTTATTTCAATGATGATAAATAACCGATATCGATACATGTTAAGGCAACTGTTTGAGGACTACAGAAGGACAACTCTATCGCACCGGATGTCTTCAATTTTCATCAGGCTGTCCAGACATAGAATATAGGAGCAACAAGATATACTTATGTGAGACCCTAGTTAATTAGAAATATCCCATTGAATTTAAACAAGTGTCAATGTTTTATGTTCTTGCTATTGCTTTTCTTGTATTTTAAGATCACGCCTGCCAGAACATTAATACACAAGACCGATGTTATTTTGCTGAACCCTCGTGTCCAAATGCGTAAGTAAATGCCTGATGAAAGAAGGTAAAAATAGTGATAAACTGTAAATATCGGCCACATATCATATAAAAAGTCTAACAATTTTCTAGGCGAACTCAAATAAGGCAATGTAACTTTCCTTACCAAATAGGGAAATTTCTATAAAGAATAATCTTTAAAAAAAATCCCCTTCTACAAAAGGGGTAAGCATTGCAAATACTTTTCAAATTAACCAAAAAGAAAATAATGGATACATCTCTGGTAAGCCGTAATTTCAATGTGATATTATTCAGAATCTAATCCTCCTTACCTAACAAAAACAAAACATGAAATACACCAAATACATGTAAATAAGCATCGTATTATCATAATTACGAGAAAGTGATATATTCAAATAAAAGGCTACAATTTGTAAACAAGTCTTGGAATCTTGACTTACAGATATTGACTTATTTCCAGATTATTACATCTATATACCCTAATGGCATGAAATATTCATGTTGGTTTAACTAAAATTGTTATATTGCATTGCATAAAAGCCAAAAAAGTTCATCAGAAAAGTCTGGCAGTAAAAATGAATGAAATGTTATGGTCCAAACTTTCCGTATCCACATCTTCAATAACAACTGGCTTTGATATTACGAGATGCATTTTGCAGATGCAAGTTAATTTTTAAAGGCCAAGAAAAAGAGATCAAAATTATTGGCATGAAGAGAAAGCACTAGTCACAATGATTAAAACTGTGAAATATTAAAGACCTAATGATACTAAGTAACTGTTAATAAGTTTGACGAAAGTTAATGGTTTTATAAGTGTGTCAAACTCCAAGGCGAGGGTCAGAAAGTAAGAAATATCTAAACACACTGTGAGGTCTTGACACATTTATTAAATACTTGAATGTCCTGGCTCCAATTATTCAAAAGTAAGGGCCAATGTAAAATATTGGTATTATTTTTTATTTGGTAAAACACTAAAGTCCAGCTCAAAAAGTCAAGTTATTTGCAACGCTAAAGTTTAAGTGGATAAAGAGACAAACAAACAGGCCGACACACAGACAAATAAACAGTGTTAAAACCATTTTGTATTATCAGTATAAGACATTCATAAAATTCAGATTCATATTATTTCAATGAGGTCTAAATAAAGTTTCATCAAGAATCATATTGACTTCAACTAAGTGAGGGACCGGTTTACCTGTGCCATACCGTATGTGAAATGTCAGTGTAAGGGTCTATGACCAATGCACACAGAGGAAAACCATTTAGTATTATTCATACCTATTGACTCTAATTTTTTAATTGTAAATTTGATGATGAAAGGTTTCTATTTAAGTTATTCAGTATATCTACAAAGAAAACATAATTTATCAATATACATGTGAATACCTATAAAGATAAGTGATCAAAATTGTATTCTTTCATCGTGAGTTTGAATCCATCGTGTTGCGCAGAGGCTGATTTATCGGATGTGATTTTGTCAACAGAGTTTAAATTGTAACATTTGTTATGCGATTTTTTACTGCATAACTTACATTTTCATTTGTATAGCACAGAGAGCATCAGTACCGTGGACACTACAGAAGCATCTAATCTAGGGTTATCGACAATTCAAAGTATTTACAACACAACATCTTACAACGTATCTGAAGGCACCTTTCCACAAGACTCCAACGATTCTACAGAGGTTATTGTTTGGAATATGGTTGCTGTTATGTTTTTCATCATTTTGATATTGGCTGGTGTCCTTTGGAAACGAAAACAGAAAGACAAAAGAAGAACTCCCTCACGTATGTAGACGTTCATGAAATTTTTAGCTTGTAAATACAAACAATCTTACTTAAAACATCTGTTAAACCCCAGTCACATTTCCAAAAACAACTAACGGCTGACAGGTTTTGAAGCAAAAATTGGTTCTTTGGGTTCTTTTTTTTACGGATATAACATAAATGGTTAATGCGTAAGATATAAAGAAATCTTAAGTATTCTTTGCTGCTTAGATGTGCATCATTTGTCGTTTTTATGCAGTTCTATACAAAATGTTTCAAACGTTTTCAACATTGAGTCACAATATTTTATAAGAATCCGCCACTTTGCCTTGCGAACATTACTCGAGTCACCTATCTGAATATAGATATATGAAAAAAATATTTCTGATTTCTAAAGAATTTTTGGGGGGGTTATTTGTCGAGGCCACCGGTGTTCTTAGAAACAATGTGTCTGCTCCTTGTCGCCCGATACTCTGTCGGCCGATCATGTTCTTTCAGCCGACAAGACTTGAAAAATTTGGTCGCCCGACCATCGGCTTAAATGTGATCTAGGCATTACTTAAAGCGCTTGAAAGCTATAATGTTTTCCGATTTGAGAATTTTTATTCTTTGTAACGATATAAATTCTTATTTATTTAATTATACTGAATCTAATAAAAAATATAATTGAAAAGTAACGATATTAAAGCTGTATGGTAAGTTTCATTGTAACGTCTTAACAATTAGTTTTGTACTCTCATGAGGAATAATATTTAAGTTCAAATATGCGGCTTACCTTAATCTTATATCAAATAATATCAAAGTAAACAAGTAATTTATTTTCTTAACACATTATAATCAGTTGATGAGATCAACATACAATACAAAAAGGAAGATATAACAACAGAAACAGATTGTAAAAGTTCGTTGCTGTCACACCACACAGAACTTACTGATGCTAATGAATTTAACTAACATCTGATTTTAATGTTAAAATTACATGTAAACAAAACAATATGAAATTTATGGTTTAAAATATAATTGCACTGCAAAGAACTTACTGATGGTAATGATTTTATAAAAAAAATCTAACATTTAATTTTAGAATCAAATGTGAGATTTAAACAAAACAATATAAAAATTGACGGCTTAATTTTTAATGATACTGGAAAGTAAAGTGCATACAGTCGACATTGCACATTTTTTTTAATTTATAGACATAATGATAGAACATTGTAATTTCTACATCATTTATGTGTGATAACTCTTTGATAGTTACATGTAATGGAGTTATTTTCTTGATAATTCTACCTGAAAGTTAATAAGGCACATCGATATACCGGTGGGTCAGAAGCTAGGACAAATATGCATGTAAATCTCATGCAGCTGTCTTTGAATTTGACGTCAGTGACTATTGAAATTCACACTGAGAGGCATTATATGAATTAAATCTACTATTGGTCTATATCTTTAAAATGTGAATTTACAATTTTATTTCACAACGAAACCAAAAATTATCAGCAATTGGTGTCTAGTTAGTATACTAAACCAGGGACATCAATGATATTGGGAAACGTGGGATACTTTTGCATATCGGGAATCGCACGTGTTCTTTCTTTAAATCAATAAAAATATTATTTTTTTTTAGATACAGTGGATTTAGAAGAAACTCTAATCAAAACTGAAATCTGGGAAAAAATAGATAAAGTTAATGTACCTGGTACTAGTATTCTAAATGAAACTGTGAAAAATGAAAAAGGTTTTACAAATACTCTTGTCAACATTAAATCAAATGAGATAGACAAAGTTAATTCTGAGATTTGTATCAATACAGAACCAGAGGAGATAGTTCTCATTGCCGAAGAGACATATAAAAGTACGGAAGTAGAAGAAAGGCCTGGCTTCATAAAGACTGGTATTGGTATCGAATCTGCAGAAAAAAGAGAGTGTGCTATTTCAGAAACTTTTTTTAAACCAGATCAGAAAGAGAATGAGCTTACAGAAGGTGGTAAAAATATCTATGAAGGAAAGAAGATCAATAGACGCAGAGGTGAGAGTCAATGATTATTCACTATACATTTACATTATCACTGAAATTAAAAAGAAAAGCATGCAGTACCAATGATACTGATGGTAAGATATCAATAAATAAAACTATTCCATGCATGTATGATTTTTTCCTAAACTGTGACATATATTTTACTTGAAATCAGGTACAAATTATCCATATTGAGAACCTCTCCCTAATCTTATTGGCTGTCACATAGTAAGATCGACCAATTTCAATAAACATGGTGGATAATTTCAAGTTGTGATGTTGACATACACAACATACATAAAAAATAACCGTCCGGTATTTGGATTGTTCTGTGTATTTTTTTAAAAATAAATTTGGGTATTGCATTACTACTTTTTAGAGTTAAGGTAAGGCTTGTCAATTTAATGATTTTGCCACGCAGTACAGTTATAAGATTACAAATGGAAATATCTGAAATTTTTAAGGATAAAAAGTGTATTTTTTATAAGGTTTGACGATTCCTTTTGGGAATTAACTGATATTTAAAAAAAAAAAATAAAATGTGGCTCAAATCTACATGTTGAGGACAATTAGATTTTTTGTTCAGACTTGTCACGTGATATTTGAGTGAGAGGGTTGTAGCAATAGGTTAGAGGTGCTGCTGAATTTGTATAAATTTCAATACTACAAGGCCATAACCAAGTTAAAAATCTCAGTTTATACTATAATTATTTTTTAAACACCATAAAGTTTGTGAAAAGTGTTGCAAACCTATATAGATTACCTTATTTAATTGCTAAAATTTTAGATTACCTTATTTAATTGCTAAAATTATATTTGTTGAACAACAGGTTGAATATTTTTCGGGTCAACTAAATTAGATATGACTATTTAATCAATTTATTTGCAAGATGTCTTGAGGTTCGCAGAACTTTTCAAATATCTTAATGCTTTTTGAGTTTTTGTATAAAAATTTGGCATGATACATTGAGGATTGCCCTTGTAATAAATCGATTTATCAGGATCCTTCTATTACTTTTTCAATGAATCTCCCTACAAACACACGACCGTATCAGTTGTGTGAAGAATATAGTGACATTATATCAATAAAATATTGCTTCTAACTTACCACTTTTTATATAACTGCAAATAATAATTTTAAAAACAAAAGACATTTTTCATTGTACAAAATGTGACTTGATCAGCCTCCCACTGTAACCAAACTGCGTCGTTTTTGCGAGTTGACGTCACATTGACAAGAGATATCGATGAATTGTTAATATGTTGTTGTGTGGGATTTAACAAACGACAAAACTGCATGAAATAGTGAGTTTTTAAAGGTATCCGACCCATATTATTACCAAATTTCCTGACCTTAAATATTAATTGTTAGTGAAATATCTTGATATTATTTTAGAGTAGAAAGGTATTTACCAAGAGAAATTTTCAAAAATTTAATTACCTAAGCAGAAATTAATTATTAAAAATTGCATTGAAGTCTATATACATATCTATTATGCATTCAATTCCATTCAATCCGAGGCCAGTATGCATCGGATACTTTAAGTAGTCTACAGCTATCTAGCAGTTCATGATCAAAGAAGCAAATAAAATCATTAGTGGAATTTTGAAGACCTTATATTATGTGTGACGTCATAGTAAATATTCCCCGTATAAATTAGGACGAGCCTCCTTGCTGTAATCTTTAAGACATTTTGTGAGCTTTTTACATTTCTTCTCTTCTTTTTGAAGTTGAACATGAGACGTTGTTACCAGGAGAGACGACAGAAACCCAAGGTGATTTATTTTGTGACAATATTGCTGACATTATTTTCTTTTCAAATTAATTTGATTTACCTTGAAATATACATTTCATATGATGTTGAATTTCTCTACATTTCAAAGAGATAGTTAATACAACTGAGCAGATTGATCAAAATCCTCAAGAAAAGATTGCAAACAAGACAGGTGAGCAAAGTGACAAAAATACGCAAGATCATCCTGACAACACAACACAAAAGCAAATTGGGAACAGTATGCAGAAAGAAACTGAAAACAATACGCAAGATAACGGAGGGGAAGACAGAGAAATAGAATCTACTTCCCCAGCTAAGCTGCCGCGTTCAGTTACTGGTACTAAGGATAAAGGTACCGAAGAAATTACTTTTACAAAACTCATTACATCACACGCTTTGTACATGTATATCTTAACAAATCAAAATCAAAATTTGTTCGTTGTCTATCGTTGTCGTTGTTGTTGTCGTTGTTGTCGTAAACTTTTCACATATTCATCTTCTGCTAAAGAACCACTGAGTCAATTTCAACCACTCTTGCCACAAGTTATCCTTTGTGAATTGGGTTTAAGTCTGTTCAAATGAGAGACCAAACCCCCATTAAAGGGGAGATATTCATGAATAAATAAAGAAAAATAATGGTATCTTTAGAAAATCTTCCTCTAAAGAACCATTGGGCAAGGAAAGCTGAAACTCATGTGGAAGCATCCTCAGGTATTATAGATTCAATTTGTTCAAATCAAGACCCCCGGTGGTAGGGCGGGGCCACGATGGCCGATCACCGGTTTAATAAGGAATAAGAAAATCTACTCCAAAACCACTGTGCCAGTAAGAATGAACGTACATGGAAGCATTCTCAGGTAGTGTAATTTTAATTTTGATCAAATCATGACCCCGGAGGTAAGGCCAGGCCTTAAAAATCAAAGATTTACATAGAATTATATTTTAGGAAAAATCTTTGAAAATCTTCTTTTCAAGAACCACTGGGTCAGGAAAGGTGAAACTTTTGTGACATTCTCTTCAGATATAAAGTGTACCGGTAGATTCAAGTTTGTTCAAATTATGACCCTCAGTGGTAGGACGGGGCCAAAATGGACAATTGAAGTTTTACATATGAATGAATACAACAGAATTTTATTAATAAACTCTACCTTTTAAAAGCCACAAAGTCGTGATTGGTCATATCTTTATCTAAGTATCCCCACGTAGTGTTGATTTAAGTTATTTTTCAAGTCATGAATTGGAAGTAGGGGTTTAGGGGTTATGTAGGATTGGCCGCAATTGAGGATAAAAGGTTTGCCTAAATATATTAGTAAAATATTTTTTACCAAGAACAGAAAAATCATGTTTGATCATATTGTTATAGAGGCATCATCAGGTAGTACAAAGTTATAGTTCAAATGAGGGTTCACCTTCAGGCTGGGCCACAAGGTGAGGGAGGAGGGGGTTAAATGAATAAATAGGTAAACAAAATCATTTGCTCAAGAACAGCAAAGGCAATTCTTGTATGGAAGCAATATCAGATAGCTGATAGTTTAACACCCATGTAAACTTCTCAATACTGAAGTAATATCTGCTTTTATATCCCAACCAATTTGCTCTGGTGAACGTGTGCCCTATGGCTCTCTTGTTTTATAAAATTCATTACATTTTGCAAATGAATGATGCGTTTAAATAAGGGTCATTTCAGATATGCAGAAAAGATAAAAAAGGAGTTTTTGATTTGTATTTTGCTGCCCAGTAAACCTCCAGTATCATTTAGACCTTTATCTTCACCTTTCTGTATAATAAAGGTCAATAAAAAGACACGACTATGGAAGGGAGTTACCGCCAAAAGTCTATGTATCTTGCTTTTATTCTTATTCTGCCTACTTCTTTATGCTTTATTGTAGTATTTATATGTCACTTTATTGTTTTCATATTCGTCATCATTTAATTTCACTTTGACTTTTACCATTCTTCATTTTGTCTTTACTTCTATGATGCTTTATTCTTGTATATTTATTCTACTTTCTTTTTAACTTAAACATTTTCTTTAATAGATTATTAGCATTATCTCTACTATTAATGTTAATTCAATCACGCTAACAATGAAGCATATTCAATGAAGACGAATGGAGGTTGTCAAACCGTCAAAATTTAGTGCGGCATTATAACGCTAGATG